ATAAAATGTACGTTGGTACTCGGCAAGTATGGTCGGGTGCTAGTCATGGCCCTCCAGTTTGGGACGTGACAGCTTGGGACCTCGGAATCGACTCCGGACATACGCCCAAATCCCATATTTTCCTACGGACCCTCCGGGATCGTCAAACCACGGGTCTGAGTCCATTTACCCAAAATATTGACCGAAGTCAAATTAGCTCATTTTACAGTCAAAATTTATCATTTTCACAGATTTTCACATCTAGGCTTTCCGGTTAAGCGTCCGGACTGTGCACGCAAATCGAAGTGATGCTAAAAGAGGTTTTTAAGGCCTCAGAACACAGAATTTCGTTTTAAAACAAGTGATGACCTTTTGGGTCATCACATATTATCATAGTTTCATATGGCTTTTAATTAATTTACCACCTTATTTAGTATTATTATCCATTACTATCCTTTAATATAATATAGATAAATTTGGAAATTTTTTAATCTTAAAATAAATATCTATTTTATTTTAAAAATATTGCTTGGATTCTTAAGTTCTTTAAATTTATCAATAGTATTTTTATGTATTTTGTTTCACTTTATTTTATTTTCTAAACTAATTCTTAGCATAAATATTCTCACACTATTTTTAAGTTCTTATTTTATCTGTTAGACATAAGTTGTGTGGTATTATCCACAATATCATCTTTCTTATCATAATAGATAAATAACAACTTTCTCATCTCAAATTTAAATAAGTTTTATCATTTTTTTTATGATGAAAGTTTTGATTAATTTCTCTCTGTTTAATCCTTATTTTTGCTATTCTATTATTCAATACATAATATTATTACATTGTTATGTGGCTTTCATTAGCTTGTTTAATTTAATATCTATTTCTACCACACTCATTTTATTATTAATCATAAAACTTAATTTCTTATTTGTTTGAACACATTATATCTAATGATAATATTTTCACTATCATTTAATTTCTCCATGTACTATTTCTAAAAATAATAAAATTATGAAATGAAAGAAAGAAAGCAGATCAAGTGGTTAGTTAATAATTATATTTGGAAAGCTATCAAAATTTATTTAGTATAGGAATGTGAGTCAATTTTAATTGATTTCTACCATAAATTAAATCTGATGAAATCTAATATGTTTTAATCCTTATTAAATTTGTCTAAAAATCTATTTAGATTATGTCTTAAAAATACTAAGTAGAAATATTTCTATTTAGATTATTTCTCCATGTACTATTTCTAAGTGATATTTTCTGAATATGCCACTAGGCTTAATATCATGCCTCACTAAATATAATATAATATAATATAATATAATATAATATAATATAATATAATATAATATAATATAATATAATATAATATAATATAATATAATATAATATAATATAAGAATATACATAAAATATTTAAGTTTTTTCTTATCTTATAAATAACTTTATACTTTATGTAAGATCTTATTTTACTGCTTGATTTTTTTTAATTTTTGGAGTCAATAAATCTTTAATATCTTAAGTAAGTTCTATTTTATATTTAAACCTACTTCAAAGTATAAATAGTCATAGGTTATCTCAATTTATATTTTTTATTTTTTTCTATTTTAGTTTTTTAATTAATTTTTTACCTCCATATTTCTAGCTAATTTAGAAGAAAATCTATGAGTGGATCAATATATATATAAAGAGAGAGAGAGATTAGATTTGTCTAAGATATATTTAGATTATGTATAAGATTCATTAAACTACTTCTTTTAATTATGTTTCTATTTATAATTTATAATAATTAATGTTGTCGTACAATTGTCAAGTGGCGTTATTTTAGCTTGCCACTTGGCTTAACCACAATGCATACTCCCCTCCTTTTAATATAATATAGATATAGATAGATATATAGATATAGATTTAGATTCTAATTATTTCTTTTCCTTTTTTTTTTGGTTCTTTTGTTTTTGTTTCTAGCATTGCATGTATAAATCGTGTCAATTGTTACAATATTTTAATTAAAAATTAAGATTTTCCAAATCAAATACATATCATAAAAACTACTATTTGTTTGAATTATAAAATACAATTAAAAGGGTACAAAACAAGTCAGCAATAGTAATAATCTTATTCAGTTTGAATAAATTTCTAAACTTCCAAAGGGGACCGTATTATGCTAGTCAGAATTAGTTGTGATTAATTTATGAGGTACAAATGTATATATTAACAGAAATTAAATCGTTTGTCTTTACTACGTTACCCTTATTAGCCTAAAAAATGCGGAACCCGCCGTCTCTTTCCTCCCCACGTCGCCGGCGGTCTTTTCTCAGTTCCTGACCAACGCCATGAGCAAGCATAGACTTGGACTACACCATTGGTTGTGCTTCTCCTATCTCTCTAGAACAACAAAGAGACGTTTTACTGCTTGCCATGTACCTAGTGAAGCAATATCATGTGATGTTCCCACATCCTCCCCAATTAATAATCACAAGACCTTGTGTTTTTCACTTGTAGAGCAGTTAATACTTCGCGGGTTATTCGGTTTAGCTCAGAAAGTGATTCAGAGAATCATCAAGCAATCCTCATCAGTCTCTGAAGCTATCTCAGCCGTTGAATTCTCCATTTCTCGCGGTATCGAGCCTGATGCAACTAGCTATAGTTTTCTCATTCGACAACTCGTGGCATCTGGTGAAACCCAAATGGCTGAAGATATTTATGTATATTGCATTTTGAAGAGAGGTATTGAACCGAAAGACCAGTCTTTATTGAATTCAATGGCCATTTGTTATTGTAATTTGGGTAAATTAGAGGAAGCAAAATTGCTTTTTGATAAACTATTGGATATGAAATTGAGGCCTTGTAGTAGCACGTGTAATGCGCTTATTAAGGGATTTTGTGGCCAACATAGCATCTTGGATGGGTTTGATGTTTTTGTAGTGGCTGTTGATGCAGGAGTATCACTAAGTTTCAGTTGTTACAATAGGTTAGTGGATGGCTTGTGCCATCGGGGGTTCTTAGATGAGGCACTCTATGTGTTTGATGTAATGTGTGAGAGAGGGGTGACACCCAATGTTCATTTGTTTAAGACATTGGTTCTTTCGTTGTGTAAGAGGGGTCGAGTCGAGGAAGCTGAGTTGTTGAGCATGGATATGGAGTCTTATGGTTTTGTTCTGGATAAAATCATGTACACAACTCTTATTAACGGGTATTCGAAGAACAAGAAAATGAAAATGGCTATGAGGGTGTTTCTTAGAATGCTTAAGTTGGGATGTGCACCGGATAAGTATACTTACAACACGCTGATGCACGGGTTTTTTAACTTGGGCATGTTGGACAAGGGTTGGGTGCTTCATCAGCAGATGGCTGAATTTGGATTAGAACCTGATGCAGTAAGTTACCAAATCATGATTGGCAAGTATTGCAAGGATCATAAAGTTGATTGTGCGTTGATGCTGTTAAATAACATGATTCAGTGCAACGTTGCTCCCAGTGTGCACTCTTATACTGCTTTAATTGCTGCGCTTTATAAAGAGAATCGGTTAGCAGAAGTAGATGTCTTGTACAATAAGATGTTGGATAATGGATTGGTTCCTGACCATGTTTTGTTTTTTACCTTGGTCAACAATCATCCAAGAGGGTCAGAGATTACTCTAGCATGCACATTTTTGCGGGCAATTGCCAAAAATGGTTGTGGTATTGACCTTTCTAACATCCCTAGCACTATCAGTCAAAAAGTTACTACAGATATCATGTCTGATATTGATCATCTCTTGGGAGAAATTGTGGCAAGAAACTTATCTCTGG